GATAGATAGATAGATAGATAGATAGATAGATAGATAGATAGATGATAGACAGACAGACAGAGTCAAATTCTGTCCCATCAGTACAGGGCCAGAATAAGTCCTCTGAATAAGTATTAATTGCATATAAAAGTTCTGCTATTCACACTAACATTTACAGGATTCTCAGAAGGTGGGTGGCTAGAGCACGAGGAAGAAAAAACCAGTTATAGCTCTTGTTAACCTTATAATAGATCACTGGCAATTTCTTTATTAGTCTTCTGACTCTCTCCTCATAGAGTCTACCATCCTATGCAAATTGCTTGCATAATATTTTCTTTGAAGTCTGCATACACACATTGTTCCCTTGTAGAACATACATTCTGCAGTATATGTTCCTTAGGAAAAAAACAACTTTTCAAGACAGGTTGTTGGAAAATTCAGTAACAATATATCTAGGACAGTGTTGTCCAAACTTGGCCCCTTTTGGACTTCAACTCCCAGAATTCCCCAGCCAGCCATGAGTTGAAGTCCATTCATCTTAAAGTGGCCAAGTTTGGACAACACTGATCTAGGAGATCTCTCTCTCTCTCTTTCTCTCTCTCTCTCTCTCTCTCTCTCTCTCTCTCTCTCTCATGAATTTTCTTCTTCCCTCAGTAAATAAGGGTACTTGTTTCTTACCAATGCCTTTGCCCAATTTTTTTTTTATCATGGTTTCAAAAGAACAGACAAACTGCTGTTCCATTCCATGTGGTCACACTTGCATAGCCAAGCAATTGCACATAGCCACGTGTGCATTTGTGTATTGCACACAGAAGTGTTCTGTGTTATATTTGTTTAACTAAATCCCAGGAACAGGGAGTTATGTTATCCTGCAGAAACACACGGAGCTTTTGTTGCTTTTAAGCCAAAGCAGCATGCACACATATGTACACACACACATACATACACAAATATATACAATAGTGGGGGGGTTGTTTAAGATTCCAACTCACTGTCAGTGGAGTGCAGCTGCCATTATCTGTTGTCATTACTTTTCCACTTTTTCAGTTCTCTATTACTTTTCTCCTATCTGTGTATTTCTCTCTTCATTCTGATTTTTCTCCCCTTTTCCCTGCCTTGTTTTTTCTCCCAGTCTTTCTGTTTCAATCCTTTCCTCCTTCTTTCTCAGCCCAAGGGAATCACTTCCCCAGTTAGATGAATGAGGGGACATGTATTGAATTTTTTTTTCCCCTTCATGGAACAAGTGTGGGCATCCCATACTGT